GTCTTTGTTTCAGCAGACTGCAGCTCCTCCACTAAACCTTGGGGTGACATTTCCACTTCCAGAGCCTAATCTGGCTCAGCAGCCAACCTTTCCACCATTGGAACTGGAAGTCCCTGTTATTCCAGAAACTACTCGGGAGGCTGGTGCTACAGCCCTGAAGCAGACTGTAGCTCCTCCAAAGCACCCTGCGATGACACTTCCGCGTCCAGAGACTGTTCAGGCTCCTCAGGCAACCTTTCCACCTGTGGACCTGGAGCTCACCATCCCTCCAGAGTCTATGGTGGAGACTGGTGCTACAGCCCTGAAGCAGACTGTAGCTCCTCCAAAGCACCCTGCGATGACACTGCCGCGTCCAGAGACTGTTCAGGCTCCTCAGGCAACCTTTCCACCTGTGGACCTGGAGCTCACCATCACTCCAGAGTCTATGGTGAAGACTGGTGCTACAGCCCTGCAGCACACCACAGCTCCTGCAAAGCACCCTGCGGTGACACCTCCACATCCAGACAGTGTTCAGGCTCCTCAGGCAACCTTTCCACCTGTGGACCTGGAGCTCACCATCACTCCAGAGTCTATGGTGAAGACTGGTGCTACAGCCCTGCAGCAGACTACAGCTCCTGCAAAGCACCCTGAGGTGACACTTCAACAGCCAGAGACTGTTCAGGCTCCTGCTGAAGTCACAGCCACAGTTCTGTCGTTTGACCTGGAAGTTACCATAACTCAGCCACCAGCGTCATCAGAGACAGTTCCTCCAAAGACTGAACAGAGTGCCACCGTGAACATCTGTGAGCTCTGTTCCTGCAGTGATAGGACACTCTCATGTATTGGTTTTGGCTCAAAGCGGAAGCTCAACAGAGTGCCAGTACCTGAGCCCAGCAGCTATAATGGCACCTTCACCATCTTGTAAGAATTGCCTTTCCTCATTTGCTCTCTGCATCTTGGCTGACATGGAAGCCTTTTCCTTGAGGTCTTCCTGGGCCTTCCTCATCTCCCCCAGCCGTGTTGAATGACTTTGTTTTTATCTTTGTTTGACAACTATTCCTTTTCTTTATTCTCCTTAATACTATTGTTCCCCCTTAACGAGTCTTTTGCTTGTAATTGCGCATATTATTTTTCCAAATTTTTAGCCCTAGCACTTCATTCCTTAACCTCTACTGCTCTCCCACCTTTGCTCCATTCTTTTTACAGCAACATGGCTCTCTCCCAGACTCATTGGTGGTGATACAACAAAGTGGTTAGGAGCAGAGATTCTACAGCCAGAGTGACTGGGTTTGAACCTAGTATGCCATTTATTAGTGTTGAGACTCAATTTCCTCACCTGTAAAATAAAGATTAGTTACCATTACATAGATTTGTTGTGAGTTTTAGAAGAGTGTGTATGTGTGTGTGTGTGTGTGTGTGTGTGTGTGTGTGTGTGTGTATATATATATATATATATATCCTATCGAATAATAGACAAACATGGTAATTAACTGTAACTTCGTGCACAAAAATTTGTGCACGGGGCACGGGGGATCCCTCAGCCCGGCCCGTGCCCTCTTGCAGTCTGGGACCCCTCGGGGAATGACCACCTGCTGGCTTAGGCTCGCTCCCTGGGGGATTGGGCCCAAGCTGGCAGTCAGACATCCCTCTGGCAGCCTGGCAGCCCTCCAGGGATGTCCACTTACCAGCAGGGAGGAGACCTAAGCTGCAGTTGGACATCCTTAGTGCTGTTGAGGAGGTGGAAGAGGCTTTCGCCACCACCAGTGTGGTGGCAGCCATTAGCCTGGCTTGTGGCTGAATAGCGCTCCCCCTGTGGGAGCGACTGACCACCAGAGGACAGCTCCTGCATTGAGCATCCCCCCCGAGTGGGGACCCTCACTCCATGGAGGTTTGGCCAGCCTGGGTGAGAGGCTGATGGCTGTTTGCAGGCTGGCCACACCCCCTTTAGGGTGGGGGGAGTCCACACTGGGGTGCCTCGCTATTCTGGGTGAGGGGCAGAGGGCTGTTTGCAGGCTGGCCAAGCCCCCCGGCAACGGAAGCGCCCAGCCTCTCCTTTTTTTCTTTTTCTTTTTTATTCTGGGATTTATTTAGCCTCTATAATTGAAACTTTGTTGCCTTTTGCTGAGGCTACTGCTGGCTGCAGGAAGCTGGGCGTCCTCCATCACATCACTCCAGCCCCATGGCTGCCAGCTGACATCTTGGTTGGGTCAATTTGCATATAGTTGCTCTGATTGGCTGGTGGTCATGGCTTAAGGTATAGCAAAGGTACAGTAAATTTGCATGTTTGTCTTTTATTAGTGTAGATTCCTCAGTCATATCTAGAACTTATATTTGCCCCCTGGCTTTCTATATAAATCACCCATTTTGTGCCCAGCCCAGGTCTAAGTACTATGGGAGTCACAGGAGTATGACATTGTCTATGGAACATGACAGTGATAGGTGGGAAGAAAGGGAATATGCATTAAAAAAGTAGGTGATATATAATTAAGTACTAAAAGAGATATAGGCCAGAGGTGCTATAATTCACCAGAATCTGTAGTTATTAGGGTATGGAAGTCAGAATGCTGCATGGATAAGCCAGAAGTTTAGCTGGGACTTAAAGAGTGGCTATGGTTTGATAAAATAGTGAGTACAGTCTAGAGCAGGGGTGGGCAAACTTTTTGACTCGAGGGCCACAATGGGTTCTTAAACTGATCCGGAGGGCCGGAACAAAAGCATGGATGGAGTGTTTGTGTGAACTAATATAAATTCAAAGTAAACATTACATAAAAGGGTACGGTCTTTTTTTTTTTTTAGTTTTATTCATTTCAGACGGGCCAGATCTGGCCCGCGGGCCGTAGTTTGCCCACGGCTGGTTTAGGGCAAAGGCATGGCTATAGGAATGATCAGGACTTAATAGACCAGTCTGGTTATAAAGAATTGGTTTAGGAAGCAGTGAAAAATATGGTTATGAAAAACCTTGACTATCAGCTTTAGAGGTTTGGAAGTTATACAGATAAGAAGACACACTGAAAGTTTTCAAGTGAGAGAGACATATGAGCAAAATAAGAGGATTATTTTAGATTCCATAAGTAGAGCAATCTAGAGAAGAAATTTTGGCTCAGAGAGACCAAATAGAATACTCTAGGTGTCCAGTGAGAAGATGCTGAGTCAGAGTGGTTATGATAGGAGTCGAAAGAAAATCCTCGGAACACTATAAAGGAAGAACTGAGAAGGTTTAGTAACTGACTTGAGTGAGGGATGGGATGTACAGGAAAGAGAAAGATCAAATATGACCCTGGAAAATTTCTGTCCTGGAAGATGAGGAGAATGATGGTGGTATGACAGGTGGGCATACAGCAGTTGGGAAAGAGAGCCAGTTTGAGGAGGTGAGCTCAGTTTGGGCTTCTTTCATTGGTGAGCGTACACAAGAAGGCTTCTGCTTGAGTGGAGATGTCCACTAGGCAGAGGGGCAGACAGATATCTGACTTTTTCTGACCTTCCTGAAAAATACGTAAACTGAATAGGTAAGTTGCTTCTGAGGGAAGAGGACAAAGCTAAAGATTCAAAGTCATCACAGAATTAGTGTTTGAAACTGAACCTCAGGAATTTAACAGCTTCTTTTAAACACTTGTAATTCATGGACACATTTTCACTGTTTGTGGTTTGTTTTGTTTTTTAGTGTCACAGAATTATATAGGATATAATGTGAAAATCCCACCCAACGCTTTCTATCACTCCTGTTATCGTTTTGGTGTGTATCTATCCTTCCAAACTCTTTTCTTTTTGCATTTCCCCCCTAATGAACAAATTCTTTACTCCTTGCTCAGTGATTTGTGCTATTTTTTTCTGTCAAATATGTCTATAACAGCCTTAATTTTAGTCCCCTCATTTCTAACTGCCCTTATCATTTTAACACCTGGAGAGATTTCCACAGAGGGCACTGAGCCAAACATTCCGTGAGGCATGGCATAAGGTTTCTTTATATTTATTTTCTTAAAATGATACATTTTTTGCCATTTTTCTTTTTTGTTCTTCTTTTCTCATTGATTTCTAGGAGTCATTTTAGAAACAAGTGATTTTGGAAAAAATGCATTCAAATAACTGGCATTACATATCCAAGAGAAGAAGTTCAGGTTCTGAGGAGATGCCTCAGTTTGTGCCAGGGGCACCACATTGTGCCTTTATAAATGTATTTTTATTGATTTCAGGGAAGAAGGGAGAGGGGGAGAGAGATGGAAACATCAATGATGACAAAGAATCAATGATTGGCTGCCTACACTCCCCCTACTGGGGATTGACCTTCAACCCGGGCATGTGCCTTTGACCAGAATTGAACCTGTGACCCTTCAGTCTGCAGGCTGAAGCTCTATCCATTGAGCCAAACCAACTAGACTAGAGCTTACATTATATCTTTATTAATTGTGCAAACTGGGAGGCGGATAGTTGTGGAAATTAGAAAGCTTGTGTTTTCTGCATTTGAATATCAAGGTTACCATGATTGTTTTACTTATTCTGTTCATTCATTTCTTACCTATTCAATGATATTAACTGTGTTTCTTTATAGAAACTTGCAAGGAAATGCTATTTCTTACATTGGAAAATGTACATGGAAGTCATACCCTTTGGTTGAGAAAATGTGAGTATATTCCCTCCAAAAATGAATTTAAAAACTAACTGCATTGTGAGATCCTTCTTGGTCCAGAATTTTGAGGTCAGTAGCTCTGAGAAAAGGTATTTCCCCTCTGTATCCCAAATCAATGTCTACTGATTGCAATTTTGTTTATTTGAAAAATTAAATTTGGTAGGCCCTCTTTATAATCAGAGTCAATTTAAACTTATTTTCCAGTATAACAAGTAATACATGATAATTTTTTCAATATATAAAAATGAAATAGCAGGTATAGTGAAAACCTTGCTTGTGCCCTCATCCCCACCCTCAGGTAACTGCTACACTTTGTTTACTATATATCTTTACAGACCTTTTTCCATGCATTTGCCTACTCACATATTTACAGATAGTAAAATAGGTATGTTACGTGATTTTCATATCTTTTTTTTTACATAAGTGGTAACATCCTACCACTTGATTCTTTCACCTCATATCTTACACGCTGTCTCCTTAATAGAGAGAGGGTTACCCAATTCATTTAAACTATTTCATAATATTCCATAGTTTAATAATCCCCAAATTGATGTTTAGATTATGTCCAGTTTTCTTGTTACGTGTATTTGATGCAACATACATTCTTTTTTTTTAAATTTATTTTTCCATATTATATATTCATTTCAGAGAGGAAGGGAGAGGAGAGAGAGAGATAGAAACATCAATGATGAGAGAGAATCATTGATTGTCTGCCTCCTGCACACCCCCTACTGGGGATTGAGCCAGCAACCTGGGCATGTGCCCTTGACTGGAATCGAACCTGGGACCTTTCAGTCTGCAGGCTGATGCTGTACCCACTGAGGCAAACCAGCTAGGGCGCATGCATCTTTGGGAATCACGGGCAGGTATTTGTGTAGAATAGATATTTAGAAATGGAACTGTTGGGGTGAAACTTCATTGATACAACATTTTAGTTGCCCTCCAAGAAATTATGCCAACTTAGACTGCAATCAGTGAGCAACTACAGTATGTGTTTTCTTCTATCCTTCCACCACTAGATAGTCTCCATTTTTTTTGGCTGATCTAATGGGTGAATAAAGACGGTCCCACCTAAGTTTGAATTTATCTCATTACTTGTGAATTCAGATACCTTTATATATTTATTGAAAATTTATTTCTTAAAAATATTTTTTATTGATTTCAGAAAGGAAGAAGGAGAGAGAGAAATAAAATGCTGAAAGAGAATTGGCTGCCTCCTGCACACCGCACACTGGGGATTGAACCCGCAACCTGGGCATGTACCTCTACTGGGAATCAAACCGTGACCTCCTGCTTCACAGGTTGACACTCAACCACTGAGCCATGCTGGCCAGGCAGATTTGAAGATTTCTAAGTCAGCTTGAGATTTATACCTTGTAAGGAAGAGGTTTCTAACCTCAATGGACCCCCCAGGGCACCATTTCTTACCATTTTTCCTCCCAAATTTCTCTTTGGTGATCTGCAGAAGCTTCTTTTCTTTTTAAAAAAATATATTTCTTTATTGATTTCATAGAGGAAGGGAGAGGGTAAGAGAGAAACATCAATGGTGAGAGAGAATCACTGATCGGTTGCTTCCTGCACACCCCCTGCTGAGTATCGAGCCCACAGCCGGGGCAACTGCCCTTGGCCGGAATCGAACCAAGGACCCTTCAGTCCACAGGGCGACGGTCTATCCACTGAGCCAAACCAGCCAGGGCAGAAGCTTATTTTCTTGAGTACTATGTTTTAAAACCATTTATAAGTTAAAATATATATGAAAATAAAGGGAATCTATTATAAAATGAAGATTTCAAAAATATTTTTTTATTTTTCTATTCTTCCTCCTTTTTTAATCCTCACCCGAGAATATTTTCCCATTGATTTTTAGAGAGATTGTAAGAGGGAGGTAAAGACAGAGAGAAATATTGATGTGAGAGAGACACACCAATTGGTTGCTTCCTGCACGAGTCCTGACCAGGCTTGGGCTGTGGAAGAGCCTGCAATCAAGGTATGTGCCCTTGACCAGATTGAACCTGGGACCCTTTGGTCTATTGGCGGACGCTCTATCCACTGAGCCAAACCAGCTAGTGCCAAAATAGTTTTAAAAAATGATTACTGATAGGCCAGCCAGCATGGCTCCGTGGTTGAGTGTCATCCTATGAACCAGGAGGTGATGGTGGGATTCTCATTGAGGACACATGCCCGGTTGTGGGCTCAATCCCCAGTGTGGGTTGTGCAGGAGGAAACCAATCAATGATACTCTCTCATTATTGATGTCTCTCTCTCTCTCTCTCTCTCTCTCTCTCTCTCTCTCTCTCTCTCCCTCTCTGTAAAGTCATCTGTAAAGTCAATAAAAATATTTTTAAATTAAAGCAATAAAAATATTATTGATACTACTCTTTTTTACGTTTTTCTTTAATCCTTGTCCAAAGATATTTTTTCCATGAATATTTTTCAGAGAGAGTGGAAAGAGGGAATGAGAGAGAGAGAGAGAAAGACATGAGAAAGAGATATCGATTGACTGCCTCCTGCTGGTTTTGGGACGAGGGATTGAACCTACCACCAAGGTATGTGCCCTTGACTGGGAATTGAACCCATGACCTTTTGGTTTGTGGGCCAACACTCTTACCATTGAGCAAAAGTAGGGCTTTAGCCAGGGCTAAAGTAGTTTTTTTACAGACAGCTCTTAATGCATTAATTAGTGTCACGGGGGAAAGAAGCACTCACAAGTGACTCTTAACAACATACTAACCATGACAAAGGCAGTGCAATTCCAGTTGTAACTTGACCAGTTTCAGTTGACCAGTCAACTGAAACTCCTTCAGGTAGCAACTCTGCTCTAATTTAAATACACACACCCCATTCACTTCATACATACTGTTTTCCTTATCTAGTCACTAGTGTAATATAAGGTCACCACTCTTCCTCTGGATTCATATTTTCTGCCTAATTTTTCCAGCTGCTTCCATTCTA